ACAGCCCCATTACCTCCTGACCTGCTCCAGCTCTTCTGTACCCCTTCTGCTAATTACAGGTCATCTTTCTTGGGGGAAGTGGGGCTGGTTCCACCACAGCCACCTCCCACACCCTTCCTGGGGCACCTCACACAGGTCCCCGGGGAGCTGGGGACTCTTCCCAGTGCTCCCCTTGCCCAAGGCTGTTCCTGCAGCTCAGTGGAGCCTCCCATGACTAACAGGTTTTGAGATAATTGTTCCACTCCCTAATCTCATCTGCAGAAGATTCATGACATTGTTTTCGAAGTGCCACCAGCCATTTCCAGGGGCTCTAAGCCCATGAGGGATGTGATTCATCCACGCTGCTCCCACAAGGTGCTTAATCTTCTCCAAAACACCAAGTCCTTCTTCCAGGGCTATTATCTCCTTAGGAACCACCACCCAGGCAGGTGCCTAACAGGGCACTTTTGTCTGCTGGGGACTTGTGCCAGCGTTTCCTTCCTCACACGGGTCACAGGGCATAGTCCTTCCTGGCAGCAGTTGTCTCAGGAGAGGGGACCATGGGGGCTGGGACCCTTTGGATGTCAGTATGGGCTGGGGACCTCTCATGGACCACCAAGCCCACAGGAAAGGGGTTGCTGGAAGTGTCTCTTGCTAATTAAAGCTCGTCTTCCCCACCATGTCCTCAGAGAGCCCTTGGGATGGACGTGGGCCCATCCTTCTCTATGGTGGAGATGTGGGACAGCAGGACCCTGTTGGTGTCTGGGGCTGGAGACAGTTCAGAGGTGACAGAGGCTGTTGCACTGCCTGGAATGAGCTCTCATTTTGACCCAAAGTATCTTGCAGAGGACAGTGATTCATTACTCCCAACACCAACTATGTGTGTCCTACCACTGAACTTGTGCTGTTCTGCTGGCTCTGGTTGGACTTGGAGGGGGAGCTCCTTGTTGTCTTGTCTTTCTTCCCCAGGGAGGGCAGGTCCTTGGGTGCCTTTGATTCAGCTCCACCAGCCTCAGCTCCAGGGGGTGTTTCCTGCACCCAACATCCCTGTGGTCCTTCCCCAGGTCCAGGCAGGCTCTACCAAAGCCCAGCCTGGAGGCACATCCCATGGGATGAGCTGGGCCTCAGCCACACAAGGAACCACCTTTAACCCTTTGTGCTGGGGTCTTCTCCCCCCAGAACTGTCCATCCCTTCTTTCCAACTTACTTCAGGCCATGACTGAGGACTTTTTTTGGGGAGCTTTCCTTATCTTTTGCTGCCCTAAACCAGAGGCAACCCTTTGTGCCCATCACCCCGTGCATCTGAAGCCATGTTGGTGGGATCAGCCCAAATCCCAGGTCTTGAGCCTCCACCTGTGGGGGTTTCCACACACCTTGTTGGATGGTGAGCACAGCCCAGGGTTTCCCCAGCTCCTGGCAGGACCTTTCTGCTCCCAGGGGTGCCATGGCTGGAGAAGTTCCTCCAGGGAGTTCCAAGGCTGCTCCCAGGACAGTGATGCAGCACGTGCAGCACGGAGCATCCAGCCAAGTGCTGACCCCACATCTGCCTCTTTGCAGGTTCCTCTTCCTCTTCAGAAAATTCCTGCCCCCAACTCGTTGTTTCCAGGCTGTGCAGGATCCCTGGGTATTTACAAAACACTGCTCTGCTTCCAGCCACCTTCGTGGCTTCAGAAGAGGTTTCACCTTCTGGGAAGCCACTCCCCAACCTGCCCTCCAGCTTTTCCACCCCACTGAGGACCCTGTGTCACCTTGCCCCCATAACCATGGCCAACCCCTTCACCATCCAGGGCTTTCTGCACCACCAAACAAGAGCTGTTCTGGGGCTGCAGGGACCTTGTTCCTTCGGGGTGGGTGACACGGGAAGCACTGGTGACACTCCAAGGTGCTCCCAGTCCTGCACCACCAGCTCCTGGGGCACGTAGGGTGCCCGTGCCAGGCTTGTTTTGCCAGGCCACTGTCACCTTCCCAACTCCCATCTCTTCCATGCTTCCTCCACCTCAACCTTAGGGTGGTGGTGGGGGGG